TCAGCCTTCCGAGTAGCCGGAATTACAGGCACGTGCTACCACGCCCGGCTGATTTTCTGATTTATTGTAGAGATGAGGTCTTGCTGCCCAGGTGGATCTCGAACCTGCGGGCTCAAGCAATCCACTCACCTCAGCCTCCCAAAGGCGCGGGATTACAGGCTGAGCCACCGAGACCGGCTCAGACATCTGTTTAATGAGACAAATGTAGGAATCTGGGTAAGCCAAGGTATAAAAAGTTCAAAAGGTACATCTGTTCTGGTAGCTCACACTTGTAATCCCAGCATTTTGGGAGGCCAAGCGGGGAAGATCATTTGAAACCAGAAATTCAAGACTAGCTTGGGCTACATAGTAAAACTCTATCTTTAAAAAAAAAAAAAAGTTCACAGAGTATCTTACCAGAAAGAGTAACACAGAGAAAACTATAAAGATCTGGTGAGCATCTCTCTCAAGTATTCAGCTGAGTACTGCTCAGTACATGTGTGAAGAAACTACCCAAGGCAAGGGAAAAAACTGACATAAAGGATTTGAGAGAACTGACAGTGAGCCAAGAATGTGCCTGCTCCCAGTGGTAAGAAAGAAAATCTCACAATTCTGAGGCCACAAGTTCTAAAAAGATCTTGCTTCATAGTGGGGAAAATTTAACCCTAGACTAAATGCTGCTTGAATTCTACTTAAGTGTTCAAAGCAAGACCCAAAAGATTTAACCTGATTTCAAGTAACTTAAAAACATCCAAGCACAAAGCACAACATATTTAGAAGAACACAAAAACACCTAGCACCCAAAAGGGTAAAATTCACAATGTTGAACATTCAATCAGAAATTATCAGGCATCCAAAATGACTGGAAAATACAACACTTTGTATGGAGAAATATCAATTCATTGAAACTCGTCCAGAAATGACACCAGTGAAAGAATTAGTAGATAAGAACATAAAACAGTTATTATGACTAGATTCCATATGGTCAAGTGAGCTCATAAATCACCCATCATGAAATGGGCAAATGTGTTGAAGAAATTGCCAAAAAAAAAAAAAAATTCACCAAAGACAAATGTAGCCTCTCACACAACACTAACTGGAACACTGATGTTGATGGGTTTCTAGAATACTTTTCTAGTGGGGGAAGACTTTATTACAAGTGGTCCACCTTCCAAAAAACAAATAATTCTGGTTTTTGTTTGTTTGTTTTTGAGTTGGAGTCTCACTCTGTTGCCCAGACTGGAGTGCAGTTGCCGCTCCCGGCCACCGCAGCCTCGCCTGCTGGGCTCTAGCAAACCTTCCGCCTCAGCCTTTCAAGTAGCTGGAATTACAGGCATGCGCTAACACATAATTCCGTTTTTTTAGGGGAGTCCTCCCTTGCATACATGTCAAAACTTATTAAATTGTATAATTTAAACATATGCATTTATAATATGTTAATTACATAATAAATAACTATCAAAAATGGACGCTGGCTAAAAATGATGGCTCACGCCTGTAATCCCAGCATTTTGGGAGGCCTAGGCAGGAGGATCACTTGAGACTAGCCTGGTCAACATAGTGAGACTTTGTCTCTACAAAAATAAAAAATAGCCAGGCATGATGGTGTGCACCTGTAATCCCAGCTACTCAGGAGGCTGAGGTGGAAGGATCACCTGAGTCTAGAAAGTTGACGCTGTAGTAAGTCGTGATGGTGCCACTTCACTCCAGATGGGTGGCAAAGTGGAGACCTGATTCAAAAGTGAAAAAAAAAGGATGCAAAAAAAAAAGTGCTGCATAAAAGAGTAGTCAATTGAATTACCATGAAAAAGTATACATCATGATGAATTGGGTTTATCTCATGAATGCATGAATGGTTCAATATTTAAAAACTCTGTAACTGTACTATATCATAAATAAAGGGAAAAACAATATAATTATCCCAGCAGATATATAATTTGATCAAATTCAGTACTCATTTATAAATAATAAGTAGCATTTGGTATAACTAAAAGAGAAGAGAATTTCCTTAATCTAATAGAGGGTATCAAAAACCTATAGCAGCCTGGATGCAGTGGTTCACATCCGTAATGCCAGCACTTTGGGAGGCCAAAGTGGGAGGAGCTTGAGCCCAGGAGTTTGAGATCAGCCTGGGCAACATAGCAACACCTCATCTCTACAAAAAAAAAAATCAAAAAATTAGCTGGCATGGTAGTGTATGCCTATATTCCCAGCTACTCAGGAGTCTGAGGTGGAAGAATCACCTGAACCCAGGAGTTCAAAGTTGCAGTGAGGTGAGCTGTGATCATGACACTGTACTCCAGCCTGGGCAACAGAGTAAGATTCCAACTCGAGCAAACAAACAAAAATCCCTAAAGCAAATGTCACATTTAAGAGTGAAATTTCAGAAGTACTTTCTTTGAAGTCACTTCTTTTAAACATTGTGCTGGAAATTCTAGCAGTACAAAACAATAAAAATAAATAAGGAAAGAACTAAAAAAGAATAGGTGAAGATGTTTATTTTCAGACAATATAATTATGTACATAGGGACTGAAAAAGAAAGAGACTCTACAAACGATTAGAAATGCTGACAGATTTCTCAGGAAGACAGAATACAAAATCAACACATCAAAACAGAACAAACAAGAACTTTTCCTGTGTTCCTGGAATAGTAAACTGTAAGATGTAGAAAAGGAGAGCAACTCACCATTACAAAAATGTCTTCAAGGTCTCTGGGAATAAGTTTAACTAGAAGAGTACAAGATCCTTATGGAGAAAATGGCAAACATTGTCCTAAAAAATTAGAGTTTCATTCAGTGGTATGAAAGACTCACCATTGAATCTGCAGATTCAACGCAAACCAGATGGAATGTTTTGTTGAATTTGACAAGCCAATCCCAAAGTGTATATCTTAGAATCAATAACAACTAAGAAGAAGAAGAGAGTATCTTTCCTTTAAGATATTATAAATCTATCACAATCAAGACAGGAGGTAACAGCATGAAGAATTATAAGTAGAAAAACTCAGCAGAATTGAAAACCCAGGATCCTCACAAGTGAAGACATCTGATATATGACAGAGGTGGTCCTACAAATCAGTGTGGTAAAGACAAATCAACTGATAACAGATGCTGGGACACCTGGCTATCTGTATGGGGGAAAAATCACTCCCTACATTGAATCATGCAAAAAAATAAATTCTTTTTTTTCTGTATTACATCATTTATTTATTTATTTATTTATTTTGGTTATTAAAAATCCTTTACAATTTAGGATTAGGTATACAAACAATTATGCAGGTACCCTTATTGATGAAGTAGGCCCTTCCTCCCCTAGCAGTTTCCCTCAACTGCCAATCCTACCCCACCT